TTGTAAAGCGAAACGCACTGACAACGGTTGGTATGGACAAGGTATATACTTTACTAGTTCACCAAGAAAAGCTTTGAATTATGCAAAATCTTGGAAATTCGATACATTTGCCTACATTATCTGTAGTCTGGTTGCTGTTGGTAAATCATTGACGATTACCAACATGGATTATAAAGGCGAACCAATGCATCCCAACTATGATAGCCATTATGCACGCACAAGTCCCAATGGTGGCGAACCCATATCCAACGAAGGAGAACCGTTCTATGAAGAATTTGTTATTAAAGATAATGGTAGAATATTACCATTGTTTATAGTTGGTATACGACGTGCCTATCATTGTGCAATTTGGCGCGATGCGAAGATTGCCAATGAAGTAAATTCAAGTATCTTAGAAGATATGCGACGTCGCTTAGCTTTCAATATTTATGAATCGAAAACAAGCGAGGATACTTTAAATATTTTAAAATCGAAATTTTCTGATGACGAAATGAATTGTGCTTTGATCACCAACGGTGCACATGGCGGACGAGAGCTAGTTATCGAAAGTCGAAAACTTCGTTTGACTATTCCTATTGTTGTTTACTGTAAGAAAAAATCTTTTCATCAACAATGGGCAACAGAGTTAGGTGGTCGTGAAATCAAAGTTACCGGCAATGCAGAAGAAACTTTACAGTTTGTCATGGACGCACTTAAATGAAAATGATTCTAAGCCGCTTACATTATATTATATTGTATTCTATACTCTCAGCCTAAGCCATCAGATTAGTTTTAGAAACTGCAAAGTTTATTGAATCATTCGGTTTTTAATGTTTCCACTCGTGAACAATCGTTTCGATATTTTTATATATTCTTCTGCGATTAATAAAATCAGTTGAATAGCTCACCATGTACTTTCATATAGAGACCCTTTTTGTAAATTACCTCTGTGAGAACAACTATAATGAGTCTTGTTTCTTCACGATCAAGTTTTCATGAGATTCACAGAAAAAATACGGTTCAAGATGCTGAAAATCCAATATTCAATATGCATCAAAAGTGATACCCTCTAAATGTATTCTAGATGTCGAAAGTGATTGCTTATTTCGAGTTTAACTTTTATGTTAATATAGGTTTACTTTAATGTTGGTATATGTAAATGATTTGAATTATTTGCATACTATCAGTATCGATGAGTGAGTGGTTTTTCTCTTCAACTTCGTCCATACTTATTCCCTAATTGACTGACGTTGAGATAGATTCAACGGCATATGCTATTTATATAAAAGAGCCATTGTCATATCAGAGAGAAACACATTGCAGGTTCATCATGATTATTAGTGATGACAATATTCTAATGTCTGTTATTGATAAAATCACCTACGGCTACACATTCTGGAGAATAGTCAGTGAAATACGTGTTTTCGCTGAAAAAATCCTTGTCACAACCAAGACGGATACTTATATCCATATGGTCGATTTTTAGAAATAGTGAACATTACAATGCACTATTTTTCAATAGAAATGCAACGGATACAATTACATGATAATGCAACCCAAATAATGCATTATAGAGTATATTTTATACAAATTCATTGCAATTCATTGAAGCATTAACGTATTATAATGCATTATTTTGGGTTGCATTATCATGTAATTGCATACATTATTATTAAAAATGCATTTGAATTGATTGTGTGCGTCATACTCCGGTGGTGAGTGTGGATCTTCCTTCGACGACATATACAGCTATATCCATACCAACACCCTCACGTATGTTTATAATTGACTATTGGACTTCAATAAATGCAACTGAGTGATTGGCATTTTCAAAGTAGAACTTGATGTGATCATCAGATCGGGACCAAAGAAAAAAAAGATTATTCTATAATAAGTTTTATGATAGGTGTGAAAGAATAATTCTATTTGGCTCTCTGCGTTCAAAATTTTCTCATTTTCAAAATGATGCATAAAAGTCGATCATACACAACGATATACGACAGAGAAAACTGCGACATATTCATTGGTGTACCAGAAAGTTTCGTGATGCACAGTAACTAGAACTGGTTATTAATAATGTGTACGACTTTTCGCTGCCATAGATCATTGTATTCTCGACTTTTATACATCATTTTGAAGCGAATAAAATTCTCAATACAAGATGTCAAATTAGAATCATTTTTTTTCACATCCAAAGATGAAACCTATTGTCGAACAATCTTTTTTTTTCTTTGATCGTGAACTTATGATCACGCCAAACTCTACTTAAAAAAATATTTCTCATCTTCTTACAGCTATTCATGATTGCTTCTCGAGATGCTATTGCTTTGTCTGAGAATTCTCCAACTTCCAGTAAAGCATTGTGAGCATAGAATATTTGAAAAAAATAGTTGTTATTGTCCAGCTTTCAGTATTATTCGAAGATAGATGCGTATTGAAACTTCTCACAATAAAAATGTAAATAATAAAGCAAGGAAATTTCTAGGATCATCTATTCAGTATTGAATCGTTCAATCTAAGGTTCGAGATCATTTGATATTATTAATGATTGAAGAACTTGAAGTTATTTCAGCCCATAACATTGTACAACGTATCAAGTTACTCAATAATATCATAGAAATTTATCGGAAAAAAGAGAACTATCAAATGGCAATGACATATTTTGATGACGCAAATTCTCTTTAGAATCAACAATCATCATTACTAAGAGAAAAACATTCGATGGCCATCTTGATATTCAACGATGTTCGTATCAATTGTAAACTCTTATATCAGATATATGACAACAAATTCATTAAAGCACTTATTCACACTCGTTTGCCATAAAGAATACATGATTTCTTGAAAAAAATGTCCGAATTTGAAAAATTTAAATAAAGAAAAGAGAAAACAAAAAGCTGATACATATTTCTATGCATTTTCGACTGACACTAAACATTAGACGCTGTCGACAAGAATGAAGATGTATGGAATACAAGAAAAGAGCGAAAATCTGTTGACCATTGGATGTAACCATCAGCCCTTGAAGAATAGAAGGACATGTTCGTATACACTATTTTGGTTGATCCGCACTTTTTGAATGGTCTTCACTATTGGACGATCAGTTTTTGTGCAAATCATAAATAAAATATGTTGAATATTCTTATCTTTGAGTGATATTTTTTATTTACGGGTTTTTAGATATATTTTGTTGAAAAACACACTCTTCTGTCAGATATACGCTATTAATGAAAATCCAGAAAAAGATTTTGGAAAAAACGACTAGAGACGGTTTTGAGAAATTATTTATTAATATATTCCAAAATTTCAATATTTAAAAAAAAATACTAATTAATAACCACACAGCATTCTAATTGGACGTTTGAATTTTTTTCTAGACATGATCGTATAGAGGAGCTTTGGTCTAATACAGAGTGATCATCTATTCGATTAAGTACAGCTAAATGTCGAGTTGGAAAAAATGTAAAATAGTGCAATGCCGAATAAAATATCTAAAAGGCTCACTAGCAAATGACAATGAACTGTCCTTATGCATATTATGCAACGGATTGTGACAGATAGCAGATTTTCATCATTCATAAAATTAGCGAGTAATCATTATCACACTATGTGCTCAAGCATAAGATTTTCATCAATAAAAAGTAAATTAATGTGGTTGGTTTTTTCTACATTGAACTTTGTTTAACATTGTCTTTTCGACGTTTTATAACTTTCTTCCTACACCCTATTCTATTAAAAATGAATTCATACTCAGAGAACTCATTAGAAACTATGTGGTTTTGCGTATCATATTTATCGATCAATTGCTGAATTTGAAACTGGAATTGTATTCTCTGTATCTCAGCAAACAATACTAATTCTTGAAAATTCTACCAGGACCACCTATTTTGAGAAGAATTAAGAACATTTCCTATAGTTACTCACAGAAATCGAATTCTTAGACAACAAAAAAATCAAGTTTCTTAAGAACTACTGAAAAAAAATGTGTTGACAAAAACACTTCAGCATTTTGTTTATTTTTGTCTTCTGTAGTTCCTCTCAAAGAAGCTGTTAGTCAAACAAACAAGCTGCAGGTCACCTATCATATCCTGATTAGTATCGGTATGTTGTTTCCGTAAAATCAATTGTGTTGTGTGATGAAATTTTCTTGTTAATATGTCTTTCCATTTAGAGCAGACATGAAGTAAAAATAGTGATTTTTCACTCTTCGTACTTTCTAAAATGTGTCATTTATTGACTCAGTGATACGTGCAACATAGGTAAATAAAGAAAAGTTCTTTAGATAAATACATTCTAAAGGAATTAGGTTGCGTGCATTGTTTGAAGAAAATTCTTATACGGCAATAGGTGTTTTTTATAGATAATACTTGGCATGTTAAAAGGTATCTCGT